TCTGGTCGCTGCAGACGTAAAACTCACACTGACAACTTGGAGCCATCTTCCGCCTACTCTGTGAACAAACTGTGATGGGCCAGTTGTAACACGAGTGGCTAATGAGCAGACGATAGGCTCTATACAGACAGGCAACCTCTTAACTGTGCGAACACCATGCACGGTGCTTGATTCCTGCAGTGGAGGTGTCTGAGGCGCAAGTGATGTGTTGTGTAATCACTTGCTATTGGGCACGTAATCGTCTTTATTACACTATAATTCTAAAGGTTCCCCTCGCAGCTTGTGTTTCAGGAGCCAGGGCTGGATTCAGTTGCGTCTAACATAAAGTCTGTGACATATCTTTATTATCCAATACATTTCTCTCTAAAAGTGTTTTTTGGTTAGGCTTGCTTCTTTATGACCTAGATGGTTATGTTTTCATAAAACACATGTATATTCCACAGTCATGATGCAAGACTAGATTCGGTTGGTGGGTTTGTTTGTTTGTTTGTTATTAAACGCCGCACTCCACAATATTCCAGCTATATGACGGCGGTCTGTTGATAATCGAATCTGGACAAGACAATCCAATGATTAACATCATGAGCATCGATCTAGCAATTGGGATACGATGACATGCATCAACAAATCCCGTTCGTCGCCTCTTACGACACGCATGGGATGCTGAAGACCAATTCTAACCTGGAATCTTCACGGGACTTGTTATAGGAGTAACATTTACTTAGCTTTGGTAAGATTTACCGATTGAATTTATTCACAAGATGTTCTGGAAGTGATATTTTGAACTATTCCTGGTGGGTTCTAGGCGATGCCTTAACTGAGAAAATGAAATAAAGTCAGTGCTGTCATTATGTTTGGAATTGCAGAAGAATTCAGAAATGCTCGAATACCACACAAGGACATTGGTCTTCCGAACCAGGACCAGACAATCAGAACAATGGAATCTGTACATTTTAAACACGTTCATCGTCAACACACGGGTTTGTATGAGTGTACCTCCGTTCCAGCATGGTAGGGCAACGTATACAAAACCGACGAAGTTCTGACGCTGGAACTGGTCAAGGCAACTCTTAACATATCTATATAGCTATTCTCAAAAAGCCTCCTTTCCAAATTTGAAGTGAACTATCTAATTGAAACTAACCAAGTACCAAGTACTGTCAACCATAAACTGCGCCATCTAGGGACCATAAAAGAATACCTACGGATTCAAAACCTTGCAGTTGTCAAAAACACAAGCCACATGGGGGCCCAACTGAGCTACGGCTGATCTCACCTTCGAAAGGGGCTGATATACCAACACACACGCAGAAATACAGACTGTGTGTTCAGTGCGGTCAAAATGGAAGTAGAGCCCCGAAGAAGAAGAAGATTTATTGTACATTAACACCCACAGGGGGCAGGGTACAAAACATGAACATGGCTAGTTATAATGAAAAGTTAAAAACTCTGATAAACACACTCAATGGAATACAAATATTGCTATGATTAAGGTCAAGATAGGAGATGCAGATTTTCTTTGCATGAACATTTTGTAAGTGAAATATGAGATAACTTCTGCAGAAGGCGCTGATGGATCAAGTAGTATTTTAAGTGATATTGGGTGCATAGCTACGGCGGGTGATGATATTAGTTCCACTCTCAGATATTTGTAGAGAGGGCATTGCAACAGGAAGTGTCCCTCATTTTCTATTTCGTTAATGTTAAGGTACACGTTCTTTCATCTCCTGGAGTGTTCGCGTATCTTCCTGTCTCAATTTGAAGATCGTGAGCACGGAGTCTTAGCCATGTAACTACTTGTTATGTACATTGTAGAATGACACTATATGCATATATAATGTTGTTATTATATGTGCCAAATTATTATTGTAATAACTGTACTCTGTTCCGAGTGGGCATTTCGTACATTACATTTCTTTTTCCTCTTCTTCTCACTCTTCTTCGTTTTCTAACCGACAATTTTGAAACGCGGCTCTGTGACGGATGACGGAGACGTGAACTCTGCAATGAAGCCTGTCAACTGTGGTCGACTGATTCTCACGACTTCGTACAACTAATTATGTACATGTCATTTAGTTTCTCAAATAAAATGGCAACCCCGTTAAAGTAACAAAAAACGGTTTGGAGCTTCATCTAATTCCATCAACTTACGAGGAAAACCGCCTGTCAAGTTTGTTTTTTAGTATGGTTTCTTGAAACGGATGTCGTTCCATTACTAACGGTTATGAATATCTGCGAGGAACTGTCACATTGGCAGTAGCTATATCATGTGCAGAAATAACGACGCTATATCGCTCCAAGGAAGTAAGTCGATTGAAATGCCTGAATGAGTGAATGTTGTGTAATTCCACAGTCAGCAATATTCTCGTCAAATCGCGACGACCTGTAAATATTTGATCCTGGACCACATCAGTGGATGTTATGAGCATCGCAATCAACTTACCGGGTCCATTTTCTTACAGCATGCATATGTTACTTGGGAACCCCAAACTCCTCAGAACCGACTCCGTGGTCTAGTGGTGGAGTGTCTGCTCCGGAGAACGTAAGGTCGTTGGTTCCATTCCCGGCCGCGTCATACCAAAAGACGTTAAGAGATGCTACTTGTTGTTACCTGCCTGCATTAAGGGGCTACTGATCGGCTCGGAATATGTATATTGTATCTGAGGGGGGTATTCATGTAACACTGCGGAGTGGTATCTCACTGGGCCAGTACTATAAATCGGCATTAGTCCGGACTTGTACAAGCCACACACACGTGCATGGACGTCGCTATATAAGGCCAATTTAACTTGGACGCGACGTTAAAGCCCATTCACCCCGTCCTGCTCCTCAATGGATGAGTGAAGTCAAAGCGCTTTGCAGATTTTACGGACGCTTTTCGCAGTATAATAATGAAATCGTTCGCAAAGAAGAGGTTTGGTTTATTATTTTATGTTCAACGCCGCACACATCAAGGTTACAGATATATGACAGCCGTTTGTAAATAGTTGAGTCTGTACCAGAAAATTCTGTGATTGACATCATGAGCATAAATCTACGTAACTGGGATACGATAATACAGCCAATGGGCACCGAGACTGACCACCCGATCGCGTTAGTCAAAGCATTGTAATGCAATTTTCATTGCAGCGATATTTCAAAGGAGATATCGCTTGATTTCACCCAAGCGACATATCCTGTGGAAGGCAGATTTTTCTGATAAATAGTTTCCTATTGTTTTCTTCTAAAATCATCTAGCTGGGTCTACAGTCTAGTTCCCCATGGATAAATCATCTAGCTGCGTCTACAGTCTCGTTCCTCATGGATAAATCATCTAGCTGGGTCTACAGTCTCGTTCCTCATGGATAAATCATCTAGCTGCGTCTACAGTCTCGTTCCTCATGGATAAATCATCTAGCTGGGTCTACAGTCTCGCTCCTCATGGATAAATCATCTAGCTGGGTCTACAGTCTCGTTCCTCATGGATAAATCATCTAGCTGCGTCTACAGTCTCGTTCCTCATGGATAAATCATCTAGCTGCGTCTACAGTCTCGTTCCTCATGGATAAATCATCTAGCTGCGTCTACAGTCTCGTTCCTCATGGATAAATCATCTAGCTGCGTCTACAGTCTCGTTCCTCATGGATAAATCATCTAGCTGGGTCTACAGTCTCGTTCCTCATGGATAAATCATCTAGCTGGGTCTACAGTCTCGTTCCACATGGACAAATCATCTAGCTGGGTCTACAGTCCAGTCCAAGATGGATAAATCATCTAGTTTCGTTAATTTTAAGAGATCAAACAGGTTTAAAACTTCCGATACTTGTACCACGTATACTGACTCCGAAATTAAAATATTAAAAATTAAGTATTTATAAAATCCGTTTATTAGATATCTCTAGATAAATGATGAATGACACTATTTCAGATTGAATGAACACTCGGTATTAGTCTCCATGGTAGACTACAGTAGCACACCCTGACCTACAACTAAATGTCAGCGACCCCTTGTGGCAGATGAAGGCAATTAAGATATCTGTTATCTTGAGATAATATTTCTTTTGAAGATATTTAGCTACATATTGTCAGCATGTGTCCCACAGACATATCTTAGTAATGGATAGCGTTCTTAGAACAGATCTAATACTCAGTCCAAACATAAAACACAAGGAGAAAACAAAAGCAAAACCCCGAAACAGACATGTAAATATAAAACAGAACAGAGCCAGGAAGCGATTGGGGCTTAACACGGCGTTCTTGTCTTTCAAAAACATTCTGTAATCCAATAGTAACTATGAGATCATTTTATGGACCACGTCTAGTAATGAATCTAGATGTTGCACTTCTATGATCATTTGTAATATCTTCATGCATTATGTTTATTATATGTATATTACCTTTTATGTTTGCAATTATACAGTAAACTACGGTTATAACGAACTCAAGGGGGCTACTCATTTTAGTTCGTTATAAGTACATTTACAGCATGACTACAGCAAGTAGTCGGGTCCAAAAAGTAGGTTCGTTATATCCGTCAGTTCGTTATAAACGTGTTCGTAATAACCGTAGTTTACTGTATGTACTCACAAATTAAGCTAGTTTGTAGTTTGAGATTATTATACATCCATGGAGTAACCCTCAGTAGAGACGAGGAGCAAGGCTATTTTGATTTTCTAATATCACTGAATCACTGAGGTCTCTTTTCTTGACATTTCAGAGACTAATTCCAAGTTTACAAGTATACAGGGCCCATAAAAGTGGGTCACATATCTGCTTCTGATAAGAACTGACCCCATACCAGTTGCTCCAGATTCACACATTGCTGGTATCTGTGTACACTGTGAGATACACGTTCATATACACCACTCAAGCACAGGAACTCGATGTGAGTGTGTTCAGCATAATATAGAAAATATAGATACATGTATATAGGGGTGTAATTTTTCTATACGAATATATTATGATGTACACGCTTACATCGAGTTCCTATACACCCAAGATATACGTTACACAGCTTAGTGCTGTTGTTGATAGTTCCACAGCATATATGTCACTGCGTGTGTACATAACATAGATCGTGGGTTTGGAGGAAATAGAGCGTGTTTTCTCGAGTTGAAGTTGTATATTGGTGTGTTTGTGTTTAAAAATAGCCGGCGTCCTGGTTCCGTTTTTACCATCTGGTCTGAAACTTGATGAGTTAAATCCAGACCAGGAACAGAAATATGCCCAGCACAGGGCCGAGCCCTCTATATTGATCTCTACTCCACTATACTGCATATACAATATACCACTCTTATACCCTGAGCTGGGATATACTTCTTTCAGAGTTCCATCCAATCGCCTTGTTTCAACACATAGGATGCTGATAACTATTTATTTAAGTCGCAATGAGCTTCTCCCCGGTTGCATTTTATAACGAGGTGTTTTATATACCATGAAGATAACGTCTTCAGAAGCTAGCATCATCTTCACGCTTCCTGCCGCTAATCCAGACCGACATGCTTCGGTACTTGGTGTACAGTTATGTTGTCTTGGATGAAGCACGACTCAAAGGTGAGTAACTCAAGAACCTTTAGTGTGGCATGTTTGTACTGAAAGGTGAGATAAGATAGCTGTGGTGACAGACGTAGGCCAGTTAGCCCAAGTGTTTGTTTTCAAGGGGAGTTTGTTGCAGGTCTTGTCTTCGAGAACTGAGGAAGCACCAGTGACCTCAACGCTATATCGATGTTGTTAGAAGTTTCATGATGATATTACAAGTTGGTTATTGGTTCATCTTCTTAAAGACCTTTTACAACCATTCACACAAAGCTGTGATTGTGTAACATGGGGAACGGTTCACGTTTTCTCTTCATCAGTAAACATACACTTGGCATGTGCGATAACAGATTATATGCACTGTATGTCACTCTACAGAACTCATCATCAATGTCAAGAACAACGTGACACTCTGTGATGTAAATATAATGTTTTATTGCACATATTTCTATTAGTCAACATTTCTTCACAAAGTTTTGATTGACATTCGATGATTTGAAGTAGGTATAATTTGAAGATAGAGACCTTTATTTACACTTTTGTATTTCATGCAGATTTGCTTCATAAATACACTAAACTCTGCATCAAAATCATATACAAACAGAAACTTCAATACATGACTTAATACAATAGAGTAACACATGATGGTATGCTGATGTGCTTTGACAATCTTATCATGATCAAAATATATATGGAATATAAAAGCTATAAAACAAAAAGCTTATTTGCAATGAACCACCACATTAGAATTGAACTCTATACATTCAAGTTATTGCAGAATATGCTATTTGACTCATATTTTAAAAATATAATAATAAGTAGGTAGATTGACATGACTTGCAATACATGAGAAGAATTTCACGGTGAAACTGTATGTGATGTATTGTGAATACTGCATGAAGATCATGGGGCATAAGTACTCCATATCCCCTACATGCCATCATGTTATATTGCATACACTGTTTCCATGTACTATGTACTTTATAGCATGATCATTGGGGACTGACGAAAAACAAATTGTACCAGAAAATGCTTGAAAAAAATATTTATGCTTCAGACTATTGCATTTTTTTTGTCTGCCACAACAAATGCATTATTGCAAGATGCTTTTAAAAAAAATATATTTAGGCTCAAAGGTTTAATTTAAGAGAAAGGTTCTGCACATGTAGCTGAAAAAATATCTCATCTCCATACAAGAATATCAAATGATTGGTAAAATCAAAAGAACCCACATCTTGAACCAATTCTTTAATCCTGACTGTGCTATTATAATCTATATCATACATCTACATGTTTAAGAAAGACTGGATTCAAGATAAAACTCATAACTGATATCTTGCACCTGTGAGTCAGTCAAATGATGTATTTTTAAATTTGAAGTTTTTACTTTTTACTGAAGTATTAATGATAAGAAACTCCTAGAAGTACTGGTCTGCCTGTTTTCCCATGGTAGAATATTTCCTATGTGCAGATCAAACAGGATCATGAACCATGTAAATACTGCTTTATGTAGCCTGTACTGAAAGAAAGTCCATATGGATGTGTAGTAATTCTATTGTCCTAATAGGCAAGTCTAGATATGTGGACAGTACTAAGGACTCAAGTCTCTTATACGGACAACTTGTTCTTATTATTTACATAATCTAGAACTTATGACTTAAACTAATAATTATTGCCATAGAGACTTGTGCAAGTCTATGCTTCATGCTGCTTCATCACCTATTCACAGCTACACAATGACTTGATGCTACGTGTCGGACGTACAATGATCCTCAGATACACGGCAAAGTTGTAATAGTACTGGTGTGGTATTAACAATATATCATTCATATTAAACATGAAGAAGTGAATAACATGTTTTGCATGGTATCAATCCTGGGATTAGGAAGCATATGTCACATGAGACTAATCATGACAGATGGCGTCACTGTGTACAGAGGGGATGATACTCTACATCAGTACCTTGAAATGTAGAGTTATAAAGCT